AAAATCTGATGAGACTGCTGCTTAAAATATCCTGGAAGTGTGAAGTGACCTGGATTTGGTGCTGGGAATGCAGGAATAGGAATGGCAGTGTCGAGGTCTGCGACAGGGTCAGGTGCATCAGCGATGTGGAAAGTGGGGTTTGCTGGGAAATCTCTGGTTTTGGGATTGGGATGATCCCAAAAATCCTATGGGAGTGCTCCTTAAAATATCGTGGAAATGCAGAGTGGCCTGGATTTGGTGCTGGGAATGTGTGGGAATGGAGACAGGGTCAAGTGCATCGGCCGTGCGGAAGGTGGGATTTTTCTGGGAAGCAGAGGAATACCAGGGATTTTTGGGATTGGAATTCCCAGGGAAGCTGTGGCTGCCCCTGGATCCCGGGAATATCCTGGGATAGTGGAAGTGTCCCCCTGCCCTTGGAAGAGCTGGAACGGGATGGGATTGAAATTCCCTTGCACCCACCCCTAAAAGTCTGGAATACCACACCAGGGATTCCTCTGCCAGCTAAACCCAGGGAATTCTGGATTTTATCAGGAAAGCCCCCAACCCCTCCTTCCCCAGGACTACCAGCACCACCTCAAACCCCATTCCCGCACCTCCCGGAATCCCGGGGTGCACAGTAGGAATTCCTCCCTCATTCCAACGCCTTTTCCACATTTTTTTTTGTTTTGTTTTGTTTTTTTTTTTTCCCGGGCAGGAGTTCCCCTCTCCACGCAGTGGGGCCCTCAGGGCTACTTCTACCCCATCCAGATCGCCCAGTACGGGCTGAGCCACTACAGCAAGAACCTGACGGAGAAGGCGCCGCACGTGGAGGTGTACGAGACGGCGGGCGACGGGAACGGCGTCGGGAACGGCGTCGGGAACGGGGAGTGGACGGTGCCCAAGGGCTGCTCCCTCACCACCGTCTGGGACAAGGCCCGGCTCACCGCGGTCAAGCAGTTCTCCTGCCCAGGTGGGTGTTGGGAATTCTGCTGGGGGGGGGTGTTGGGAATTCTGCTGGGTGGGGGGGTGTTGGGGATTCCGGCGGGTGCTGGAGCAGGGGGTGGGAATTGTTGGGTGCTGGGGTTTTGTTTGGACTTTGTTCCCCATCCTTTTCATTCCCAGTCCTTCATTCTGATCCTTTATTCCCAATCCTTCATTCCTGTCCTTCGCTCACAGTCCTTCATTCCCTACCCCTCTTTTTCCAGTCCTTTTCATTCCTAATCCTTTTCATTCCCTGTCCTTTTCATTCCAAATCCTTCATTCCCAATCCTTCATTCCTTATCCTTCATTCCCAATTCTCTTAATTCCCAGTCCTTTTCATTCTCAGTCCTTTTCATTAACAATCCTTCCTTCCTCATCCTTCATTCCCAATCCTCTTCATTCTCAGTCCTTTTCATTCCCAGCCCTTTTCATTAACAATCCTTCCTTCCTTATCCATTTCTGATCCTTTTCATTCCCTATCTTTCATTCCTTATCCATTCCTTATCCTTCCTTTCTTATCCATTCCCCATCCTTTCCATTTCCAGTCTTTTTCATTCCCAGTCCTTCATTCTGGATCAAATCAGGTGCAACAGCCCAGAAACACTGAACTACTAAAGGGCTGCCCTAAAATCTTGGGAATCCCTCCTGAACTGGAGCGGGGAATGACCTCTGGAATCCTCTCCAAATCTTTGGAGAGTTCAGGGAATGTTCCGATGCCGAACGGGGGCTTTTCCCGGGGGTGGGGCCGTTGCTTTTTCAGAAAGCTCGGAGGGCGTTTCCCTGGAGCTCAACAACGGCCGGGATTTCATCATCTCCTTCGACCTGAAGCTGCTGGGCAACGGCAGCGTGTCGGTGGTGCTGGAGACGACGGAGAGGAGCCAGCCCTTCACCGTGCACTACGTGTCCAGCACGCAGCTCATCGCCCTGCGCGACCGCGACATCTTCTACGGCATCGGCGCCCGCGCCGCCTGGAGCACGCTCACCCGGGACCTCCTGACGGACCTGCGCAAGGGCGTGGGGCTCTCCAACACCAAGGCCGTCAAGCAGACCAAGATCATGCCCAAGAGGGTGCTGCGGCTGGTGGCCAAAGGCCGCGGCTTGCTGGACAACGTGACCATATCGGCCACGGCGCACATGGCCGCCTTCTTCGCCGCCAGCCGCTGGCTGCTGCGCAACCAGGACGAGCGCGGCGGCTGGCCCATCATGGTCACCAGGAAGCTGGGGGAAGGCTTCAAATCCTTGGATCCGGGTTGGTACTCGGCCATGGCGCAAGGCCAGGCCATGTCCACGCTGGTCAGGGCTTACCAGCTGACCAAGGAGCCGGCGTTCCTGGGCGCGGCGCTGCGGGCCACGGCGCCCTTCAAGCTGCCGGCGGAGCAGCGCGGCGTCAAGGCGGTGTTCATGAACCGGCACGAGTGGTACGAGGAGTACCCCACCACGCCCAGCTCCTTCGTGCTCAACGGCTTCATGTACTCCCTGATCGGCCTCTACGACCTGAAGGAGACGGCGGGCGAGAAGCTGGGCAAGGAGGCGCGGCTGCTCTACGAGCGCGGCATGGAGTCGCTCAAGGCCATGCTGCCGCTCTTCGACACCGGCTCGGGCAGCGTCTACGACCTGCGGCACTTCATGCTGGGCACGGCGCCCAACCTGGCGCGCTGGGACTACCACACCACGCACATCAACCAGCTGCAGCTGCTCAGCTCCATCGACGACGCGCCGCTCTTCAAGGACTTCCTCAAGAGGTGGAAGAGTTACCTGCGAGGAGGCCGGGCTAAGCACAACTGAGGTTTCCTTGGGGTTTTTTTTTCTTTTTTCCCTCCCCACCCCACCACCCCGTCCTTCCACGCTTTTTTGATGGATTCTTCCCCCCCTCAAAAAACAGGACAAAACAAAAACAAAAAGTCGGGCCTTAAAACTGCTCTGGGGAAGGCGCGGCCCGGTGCGGGAAGGTTTGGGATGGGGACGCGGCTGGGAGGTCGAGGTTTGGGTTTTGTTGGGATTGGTTTTGCCTTTTCCCAGGAAAAGGTTTGCAGAAGCCATAGAAGTCTTGGAAGCGCGGCCGCTGCCTGGAGAGCTCATCCAGGGCCTCTCAAACTGGGATTTTGTGTCCGTGTTGGAGCAGCTCCCGTGGGATGAGCGCCGTCCATGGGAATCACCCGGAGCCCGGGAGTGCAAAGTGTGGCTTTAAAGGGGGGGGTGGTTTTCCTCGGGATTCGCTTTTTTTGGGATGAAAAATCTGCAGGTAGAATTTTTTGCCAGTTCTCTGCCTGGACATCCTGGAGCTGGAGGGGTTTTTTCATGGAAAACACGTGCCCGGCATCGTGGAAGCACAACTGGGAGCTTGGAGCACACGGCCCCAGCTCACCAGCACCGGTGTCCCCTCGGAGATGGGATCCCTTATCCTGGTCATTGGAATTCCCTCGGAGCTGGGATCCCTTACCCTGGTCATTGGAATTCCTTTGGAGCTGGGATCCCATATCCCGGTATCCCCTCGGAGCTGGGATCCCTTATTCCAGTGTTTTCTGGGATTGGGATCCCTTTTCCCAGTCATTGGAATTCCATCAAAGCTGGGATCCCTTTCCCTTATCCCAGTGTCCCCTCAGAGCTGGGATCCCCTTTTCCAGTCACTGGAATTCCCTTGGAGCTGGGATCCCTTGTTGAGGTCACCGGTGTCCCCTTGGAGCTGGGATCCCTTATCCCAGTCACTGGAATTCCTTCAGAGCTGGGATCCCTTATCCCAGTGTCCCCTTGGAGCTGGGATCCCTTGTTGAGGTCACTGGTGTCCCCTTGGAGCTGGGATCCCTTTTCCTGGAGCTCCGTGTTTTCTGTGGGATTTTGGAATTCCGTCTAAGACGTTCCTTGGAGCTTTGGGGACATTTCAGGAATTGCTGAGCTCGTCTGGAGTCCCTCAGGAAATTCAAGAATTCGGGAATTTTCATTTTTCTCCTGCTCCAGCCCATCCAGCAGTTTAACAATTCCATCCCAGAGGTTTTTCCAGAGAATTCCTAGAGGAGCTGTGGCTGCCTCTGGATCGCTGGAATGTCCAAGGCCGGGTTGGAGCAGCCTGGGGCAGTGGAAGCTCCCTGTGGAATGGGATGAGCTTTAAGGTCCTTCCCACCAAACCATTCCATGATTCCACGATCCCCCCCCTCCGCCGCCTGATCCCGAACGCGTGGCTGGACTTTGGGAATTCCCACTGCTTCCGTTCCACGTTGGGGCTGATCCCAATCCCAAAATCCTGGACAACACCCATCTCCATCTTTTTATTGCTTTCACTTCCTGAGGCTTTTCCTTCATTTCTCACCGATCTTGGAGCGACTTTTTCCCGGCTTTAATCCGCGCGCTCCGGTCGGATCCGTCCGTCCGATGGATGGATGGCGGAGGAGAAATTCCAATACCAAAGGTAGCAGAGGGGAAATTTTTTTTTTTCCATGCCCATGGAAACCCAACGGACACGAACCCACCCCAAACCTGGGATTCCTTCCCAAAAATCTGCTCCTTCCCAAAAATCCGCTCCATCCCTCCCCCCTTCCGTCGTTTTCCCAGTTGGAAAACCCGGAGATGCTCCTTGGGTGCTGCTCCAGGATGGTTTTGGTGCCTTACAGAGGCCGGAATTCCTCTTGGTTGGGTTTTTTTGGGAATTGATGCTGATGCTGGGGTTGGAGCGTGGCCGATTTTCCCGCTCCGGAAGTTTGGGATGGGCATTCCAAGATTGTCCCTCCTGTCCCACCTCCTGTCCTTCCATCACCTTCAGCACAGGTGGAGCTGCCAGGAATCCCCACCAGAAGCTGTAAATCCGTGGAGAATCCATGGGAATTCCTGATATTCCTGAAATTCCATTGTGCATTGGAAGAGGATCATTGACTGTGCCAGCAGTGCCCAAAATCCTCATGGAATTCATTCCAATTTGGAATCTTTTTGTTCATTTTCCATCTTCAAACTCCCAGAGATCTTTGGGACCAAGATCACCTTTGATCCCAGATTTTCACCCGGAGATCCGTTGGCTTTTCCCATGGGATCCCCTCTCCGTGGCTCCCCCACCCCAACAACACAAGCACAACCCTCCCTGGAATCCGGGAATTCCCTGGAATCCGGGAATTCCCTGGAATCTGGGAATTCCCAGGAAGCCTCCCCTTCCCGTTCTCCTCCTCCCCGGGCGTGGCTTGGCTGGGATTTTGTTGGATTTCCCGGGATTTTCCCGAGGATCCCGATGGAAAATATGCAATAATTTGTTTACAGGATGCTCCGGGCAGGGCTCTTTAAGCACAATGTGCACAGGATAGTTTTGTATTCCGCCCCTCTGGAATTTTTTTGGCGGGAAGAGGTTTCTCCTACGTTTCTATGGGACATTGGGAATGCTTGGAAAGCTTTCTAAGACTGGGAAATAAAAATTTTTTTATCTTAAGAAAAAAAATAAAAACCAACCTCGGGATGTTTCCGTTATTTGGGGATTTTTCCAAGCGTTTTATTTTCCAAATATATTCCAAGTTTTCTTTTTTTTTTTCTTTTTGAGGTGTCGTGTTTTTAAGGTGGTTTTTCTTCTGGAAAAGTGGGAAAAATGTGGATTTTTCCCATTAATTAAGAGTTTGGTGATTGAGGGAAGGAGCACAAGTGGTGGATTCCTGGTGGGAATTATTCCTGGTAAATCCAGCTCGTTTGGGAGGGTTTTTTTTGGGGATTTGTTCGATGAGGATTTTAACAGAGCATCCCAGAAGGTGGGAATGGAATTCCAGAGCCGTGTCCAGGGAAAAGATGTGAGAAGTCCCAGTGCTGGCAGGATGGGGTTAATTCCCAGGAATTCCCAGGATTTTCCCGTGGGATTGAAGTTTGGGATAGAGCTGGGAATCCACCAGCCCTGCCCGGCTCCGCTTCTCCCAGTTCCAGATTAATTAAGGGATAATAATTTATAATAATTAATAAATAGTAATAAGTAATAAAAAATAAGTAATATTAGTAGTTAATAATAATTAATACGTAATAATGATAAAAAGTACTAATACTAGCGCTAATTAATAAATAATAATAATTAATGATAATTGATGGTAATTAATAATAAACTGATCCCACTCATCCCTCTCCATCCCTCTGGAATCTCCCACTCTCCAAAAATTGGGAAAGCCATTCCCAGCAGCTGCAGGAAAAGCAGCGGATTTTTGGGAAGCAGAACGGGATTTTAGATTCTGCAGGAAAAATGGGATTTTTGGGAAGCAGAACGGGAAACCCACCAGATCCCGCTCTGCTGAGGAATTATTCCCATCCAGCTGGGAAAAATCTGGGAATGAGCTGAGAGGGCTGGAATTCCCAGGCTGCTCTGGAAGAGCTCCGGGAATTTTCCAGCGGCGCTGGGAATTGAATTTATTTTTTTTCCTGCTTTTTTTCCACTTCCTCGCCGCTGGATCCGATCCCGGCCGCGTTTGGCCGCGCTTATTTCCGGGTTTATTTGGGAACCTTTTTTTCCTTGGACGGGGCAGGATTAATTCCCTCCCAAAAGCTGGGAATTGCCGGCTTGGGGGATCATCCCGGTAGGCGCTTCCTGACGGGATCGTGCCTTTGGAAAAGCCGCGCCCGCCCGGCCCGGAATTCCATGTGGGCAGTGTTTGGATCCAGCTGAGTAATCCCGGGATTTGGAGGCAGCGCTGGAAAACGCCGCATCCCGAGCAGCTCCGTAAGTCCCGGGTTTTTTCCTTCCCCTTCTCCAAAGCATTCCCGGCTTTTCCCGCTGATCCCGAGGCTCGGCATTCCCGGGAAGTTCGGGAATGCGCGTGGGAAAGGGAAAGGAACAGGGGAAAAAAAAAAAAAAAAAGAAGGAAAAGTGCCGGGAGCGCTGGAGCACCGGGAGCATTCCTGGTCCTCCCACGGCTCCCGGTGCTGCGGGGGGATCACGGAATTCCAGGGAAGTTTCACTCGGGAGCGGGGTGGGCTCTGGGATCCCCCAATCCCGGATTTCTGGCGTGGAAAAGCTGCCGCTCCCGAGGCGGATCGCAGCGAATTCCAGCGGCAACAACAACTCCCACAAAGCCGCCGTTGTCCCGCCGGGAATGATCCTGGCACGGCCCGCGCCGCTCCCGGAGTTTTTTTCCAACGCTGCTCCCGCGCTCCCGGCGCCTCTGGAAAGGCGTTCGGGGCTGGTCATGAATTCCCGAATATTCCTGGCTTGTGGAAAAGCGCCGCTGGAGCTGGCACGGAGC